CAGCGGCCCGGGTTTGAATCCGACCTGCAGCCCTTTGCTGCGTGTCATCCCCTCTCTCTCTACCCACCTTTCCTGTCTGTGTTCAGCTGTCCCTATCTAATAAAGGCATGAAAAGGCAAAAAAAAAAAGACCTTTCAAGTGCGTCACACAGTCTTCATCAGCGGATGAAGTTTTCTCTGTTGTCATGAAGACGGATCTGTTGACAAAAAGTGCTATGGGAGATATTAACAGCTACTGAGTTTGCATATCTAGAGATCAGTCTCCACGACAACTGAGCAAGTTTTATCTGCTGATGAAAACCATGTGACATAGGCAAAAAAAAGGATAATAGACATTGAGTTAGGATTGTTTTGTCAGGATAAAATTGAAACTGAAATGATTATTAGATCTCTTATAGAGGTAGTTAAGGCAAACTTCAATTACTGTAAATGTTTAACCTTTACAAACTTTTAAACAAAAGGAGAAGGGAAGGTGTATTAAGGCTCACACAGCCCTGAACAGTGCCTAAACAGGATTTCAAAGGATCAGCAGAACAAGTAGGATTTGCTTCAGAGCAGAGCACTGTGTCTAATTACAGGTCAGGATGTGATGGAGGAGGATCCACTTCAGACCCTTACATCACAGCTGACCCAATGACCTCTACAACTTATGACACACTGGTGAGCAGGACTTTTGTAAAGTCTCTTAACACACAAGGAAACCCCCATCAGTACATTGTACATGCAAATTCATTGTCAAAAAACAAAGAGGTAACAACAGTGTCATATTCCAGTATTGCATAACCTGGGGCCTCACTCAGGCCTCAAGTCTTTACACTGCTGTCCCAAAGTCTCACTTCATTTTACAACTGAGACCATTTTTTAAAAAGCTTTGGATACTATTCTCCCAGTTAGACATCATGCAGACTGATAGTACAGCACTTGCTTTAATGATAAGACAGATTTGCCGTTCTAAAAGGGAGGTGTTAAAAAGGTCTCCAAGTCTTCATTATAAGACAGTAGAACTTCCACGCCTGCACAAACTGCTGTGTACTGTCCAAGTCACTTAAAACACTAATCTGTTTGTAAATCTCATTACCTTTCCAAGCCACAAGACTGCCCCTGTAACTGTCAGTACCATAAGAAGCTAGTCCTCACCTTATGTGATGTTCAATGACCCTTATACCAATACACCAATACAGACATTTAACTGATCAAATTCTTGTTGCTATGGTGAAAACCAGGTGTGGTTTGTGATTGGGTGTGGTTTGATGCATCAGCAGCTCGCCAGCATAATGTGGACAATAAAGTCACAAAGGAGATACAGATTGCATCACTGACACATTTTGGTGCTAGGAGAGGCACGTTAACAATGGAGCTCTGCACACCAGAACATCTTTGTGATTCAGAAGCATCCAATACCTGAATACACCTGACAGGCCTCTGTCCAAACCTGACTGCACCAGATTATTTGTTACACAGATCCATCTGGGGATTCCAAGTGTTTGGAAAAGGGTAGGCACTTTAAAAAAAATACAAAGCAGGTTATAGGATGAACCATTTTTCTATCACCGTCCATCAGGGGCAAGCTTTAACCAATCAGATCACCGAACCTTATAACATAGTCAAACTCTTACTGAAATGCCTTTAGTGCTGTTCTTTACTCTTATTTCAAGGAAGAAATGCAGTCCTGTCCTAACCTAACTGATACTACTGTAGCAGCATTGACGCTTACCTCTTTAGCAGTCCTTCTCACACACTCACACACACACACCCCTAGTGTTAAATCACGCACATAACTCATGCTATAGCTGCCAGTACTTCCCCATAGGGCGCTGACTGGTCCGAGCCACTGTGGTTTGGACACAAAGGCATAGATTCTACCCTGGCAAGATAAATTCTCACGTGATTTTGTGAGTCCA